CCCTGTGCATGGTGCTGGCTGCTGAATTTTAAGCTTGCACTGATGCCTAACTGAACTCCAAGTGTTCCAGAGACTCTCTAAGGACTCTGATGGGCATTGTCAGATAACAAGCAATACATTTACTAGGGCTGGTTTCCATAAAAAACAGAGAAAACACGTCCCTTTTAAAGGTACTTTTGTCAGTAAAAGAAGTGATATAATACATTTGTTTTGTTTTGTTTTTAATGTAATAACCTTTTAGATTAACATTTGCCCAGAAAGTAGAAGATTCAGATTTATTTCCTCAAGCTGATGAGGTTCAAAGTGGTGTTTCTTCCTTTGGAGGTGTTTATTTGCATTTCCTTGCAGAAGATTGTATTTGATGATTGTGTTTGAGCTTCTCACAGTAACTTTCATTGGAAATGGTGCACTATGTGGGCCAAGTGAGCAGCTCAAATGTCATTGCCCTGTATTGCCTCACATCACTGTTAGAAATGCTTTTTCAACAAAGATCTGCAGTCTGGTATTTGTCCTTATGGTCTGTCTAATGAAAAGAATAGCTTGTAAATTGTATTTAGTCTAGTTCTATTGAAAATACTAGATTGAAAGCAAGAAGAAAATAATTGATAAGGGGGCCTACAACTGCAAACTTAGTTTGCTACTAAAATCATAAAATGGAACAGTAAACAATTTTAAGGAAGCTGACAGTTTCTACATGTTTACCTTCTGTTCCACAAAGGCACTTGTCATTTGAGTTCATCCAATGTAATTAAAGCAGAAAAGGCTTTACATCTCTTAAGTTATCAGAGAAATGTGATTCGAAGTTATAGTTTAACCACTTACTGAAAAGTTTAAATCTCTTTTAGAGCTCTCATCTCAGGGTTGTTTTATGCCATGCCATGGAAAGACTAATAAATCTGACAAATTTTAATGGGAGGAGATTTTGCCAGATGGCATAATACATTATCCAAGTAGACCAGAGCATAAGGAAAAACAGGTTGTGATACTTGTTTCTTTTAGTACCAGTTCTGTAAGATCTAATACTCATTTCATTTGCACTCTTTTAAAAAGAATGGAAAACATTCAGGGAAATAGAAGTTGATACACTTACAGACAAATGTGAATTTGGGAACTGACACTTGATACTTTATGTGGTGAAAGATTTCCAAGACTTTGCTACTTGAGTATACAGTAATTAAACCTTCCTTTGCCAGCTTCTTAAGCCATATTTTTTGAAAATTTTCCATTTTAGGTTGGTGATTCCTCTCAAAGCACTGTTGTTCCTTTGACACAGGCTGTTTGTTTTCAACTGATGCTTGTCATCTGGAAAGCCATCCCTGTGTCTAATATAACAAAAGGGAATAGTTGTGCTCCTTTCTTCCATATGTTTCCAATTACCATGTACTGTGTGATAAAGTGCATGTGCTCTTTGTTTCTGTCCAGTACGCTGTTAGCCCTTCTGGGTTTCTACTAGTGAATAAATTACTTTGTGCTTTATTGAATTGAACAGCTGGAATCACACTTCAGTACTGGACTTCAGAGATATGCTGATCCTATATTTAAAAAGAAAATTACAATACCTACAGCTGCTTCTCAACGATCTCTCCATGACTTGCTTACCTGAGAGCCTTTTTTCAAAATGTTTGGGTTTTGGTTTTTTTTTAATTGGAATGCAGGATACTAGATTAACTTCCAAGTATGGAGTGGCTAACGAGCACAATATATTGCTTTCTATCATGCTCTTTCTTAAAGCGGGCATGCATGTGCTTATCAGAAATTGATTGTTATCTCTAGAGCCTGGAAATCTCCACCTACAAAATGTGGATAGCAGTCTGTAGCTTTCCTGCATTATGTGTCTCAGGACTACCAGAAGATACCATGGTATACAAGTGGAGAGATGAATCTTTATCTCCATTGACTTGTTGTCTCTGAACTGACCTGAGACCTCACTATTGTTTTATACTGCTTATTCTGTTGCCTTATAAACACATTTGATTCCTGTCCTTTGCATTTTATTTCAGTTTCAGTCCTGAGACTGAACGGCAACACAACCTCTTGAAAAATTTAATTCATGTGGAATCTGGTTGCTTTGCTTTGCAGATATAATGAAGCAAAACAATAGAGAATTGTAGCTGAAATTGTAAAAACCAAGGTTTGTTCTGGTGGAATGTGCTGGCTTTTATTAGGAAAAACTCTGAATATAGACTTTTTTTTTTTGGCCTTATGTTAATCCTCTAAATATGTCTGTTACTTTAGGGGTACCTTTGTTTGCCATACATGGCACTGCAGCAGCATCATCTCCTGTCAGATGTAGCAGTCCGCGGCTTTGTTGCAGGAGCCACCAATATCCTGTTCCGACAGCAGAAACATCTGAGTGATGCAATTGTGGAAGTATGAATCTTTGCATTTGAACTTCTTGAACTAGAGAGAGGGGTGGGGGGGAAAGCAGAAGTTGCATTTTAGGTATAGCTTTTAAGTTTCACATTCATGCCCAAATTTTGAATTGCTTTCCTATGAAATAAATTCTTAAATGCAGAAGTTTATTAAATTTGTATCATTTGTTACAATAGGATTAGATAAGCTGTGCAAAACTAATACTGTTTTTCTGTATATTCTTATATCCAATATTTGAATTTGCAGGGCACTTCTTAGATTTTTGTTTTGCGGCTGGTGTAATTTTACTTTTAATGTCATGGGCTTTTTTCATAACTTTGCAGTAAGGTAACCAACTTAATAAATTGAAGTGATAATCAAAGGAAAATACATGTGAGCACGAAACTTCCCCTGACAAATCCTGTCAAATAAGCAGCTTTTACTATGTGCCAGGAAGGTGATCAGATTCTGGTTGTATCAGAGCAGTATCTGAGCAGTATCTGACTTTCTGAGAACAGTTAATTCGTTAATTATTTGGCCATTTGTTTGTTCTTGATATTTTGGGGGACTGTAGGTTTAGATTTAAGTAGCAATGTATAGTAGTATATATAAGCAGTTTTATTTAGATAAACGTTTGCCCTTGGAATTATTTCAAACAGATAGAAGATGCTCACGTACAAATCCACGATCCAGAACTCCGTAAGATCCTGAACCCAACAACTGCTGACCTAAGATTTGCAGATTACTTGGTGAAGCATGTAACTGAGAACAGAGATGATGTTTTCCTTGATGGCACTGGATGGGAAGGAGGAGATGAGTGGATCAGGGCTCAGTTCAGTGCTTATCTTCATGCACTGCTTGCTGCTGTGCTGCAACCAGGTAGAACAGATACCTTGTCTAGGGCCTGAGATGAGGGTGGGTGTAATAGGCATTTGCTCTGTTGCGTTAAATGTGTGGCCTATCATTGGATATCCCTCTGCCTAACGTTTCATTTTAGGCTGCTTTTTCGGTTGTCCTTGGCCATCGTTGTTATTCCTTGACAAGCTTATTATTAATTCTTACTTCACAGCCTTGCAGGCACTTTCTTCTTTGACTGTCTCCTTCTCCTTGATTTAATTAAGCTTTCCTCATAAGTAGAAGTACCTGAAACCCCATATATGATGAGACTTTTACAAACTTGGATGTCTTACAAACCCTATTGCAACCTGAAGTTAATTTTGGGGAACTAATTGGATACAAGGAGACATGAAATTAAGTGGCTGTCTTCAGGAAGTTTTACTAGGCTGTTCCATCTCTTTTCCCTTCCTGCCATGGTCTTAAGTAGGGACTCCCATAAGTGAAAAGTGTCATTTAGAGGCTTTGTAAGCTTCTGTTTTCTGGAGCTCAACATTTTTTGTCTTAACTCAGAGGGAATTCTCTATGTTCCAGGCTTTTGTGCATGAATGTAACTAAAAAAATCACTGGTTTATTTGTGGAAAATATTTAGTTTGCCCAGCACTGACCCCGTCAACTTCATTCTCATCATGATTATTCTGTATTCAGATCGTGTTCTGTGGTATTTGTGAGATAACATGGGATTGAGAACTTGATTTTAAAGTCTGGAAGATGCTAAGTTCTTTATCTGACAACATTAACATTTTATGATTACCTGGTTGATAATGAAATGTCAGAGTTTTCTGGAAATTCATACTGCTTCACTGGCTGGCTCTAAAATTATTTCCTATACTCTTCTGTCTTTTAAAGGGGATGATGTTGTTATAAGTTTGTTCCACAGTAGTTCATCCTGCAGTTTTGGAGTGGATTTGGACTTTGCTAAATTTGAATGAGTAATAACATAGTACAGCAAAGCCCAGTGACCAAGACCAATGCAAGTGATGTTTTTGTTCTTAGTTGCTACGTGGCCATTCTCTCCCCTTTCCTGACTTTGCCTAGAGAATAAGTCAAGAGGCCTATGTTTAGATGACTTTTTTTTTCCAGTTCAGCTCTTTACTTAGAACTTTATAAATTAATTAAAAATAAGAAAAGGGTTTTTTTAAGCTTTTTTTCTTTTTTTTTTTTAACCCTCCTGGCTTTGTGTATTTGGGACACTTCAAAAATGTTTTATTTTTTTCATTTTAAAGTGCCCAGTTCTTAGTACTAGAGTTTTAATTGTCTTTGATTTGATAAGAGCCTGGAAAATTTTGATTTTTCTTTACAAGAAAAAAAGTAATTTGTCTTGTATTACATCTCTAATGAATTGCTGCAAATTCTCATCTTTATTTTAATTTATCAGACAATGAAAAGACTTTGTCAGACTTTGGAACAGCATTCGTAGCAGCCTGGAAAAATACCCACAACTACAGAGTATGGAATAGCAACAAGCATCCAGCTCTTGCGGAGGTAAATTCTAGGTAAGAAACCATTTTTATTTTAATTTTTTTTTTTTTTTTTAAGCATTTAACATGGAAAGCTCCTAGTATGTGTAGTCAGACACACCGTTCTGTAGAACTACAGCGTTCCCCTTGTTCCCGCTATAAAGCCCTGAGGGTGAAACTTTGGGGCCCTATTCTGTAAGTACAGAAGCCGAATATTTCTGTTCTTCAATACCTTACTCTAATTCTGGGCTATAGCTTTATGATGAAAAATATATCCAGAGCCAGGAGAAGTGAAACTTGTTCAAGTTGATTGTCGGCTGTCCCCAGCTATAGAAAGTTTGTCATTCCTCAGGAATTGTCCTCAGATGGTTCTGCTTTTTATTAATTGCTTCCAGGTGTCCAGGGAATAGCTGTGTCCAGGGTTGTCATTGATGGGGATAGAGGGGAGCTGGCTGTTTTATTGTTGCATCTTCTATACTTTGGATTGTTTTGTGTGTATTTTCACTCAAAGATTAGATGATGCCAGGCTTGGTAACGCTGTTGGCTGTGCATGTGTTTTGTTTAGCATGGATTAATACTGTACTGCACAGGGAGTTTTGTTTCCTTTTGCTTTGTCAGCTGCTGTAGTCTGAAGAAGGTTTTTCTTTAGACCTACAAAGCTCTTGTGGTCTACTTAAAGGATCTTTTTTCTTTTTTATTTGCTCTAGGAGGAACAAATGTGTTGCTAGAATGAGGTGCCTTTGTCTTAGTGTGAAAAGACCGTTAATACCTGATCTGTAAATAGAAGGCACCTTACAGGTAGTTCATGAGGAATCTAAGGTTGAATAGTCACTGGGACTTAGTCTTCTGTAAAGTGATATAGTAGTATATCTACAAAAGATGTTTGGTTTTTTTTTAAGCCACAGAGAGGAGTACAACTAATAATTGTGTGGTATGGATTCATTGTGAAAAAATAAATACTTAATGTTTTCTCGTGTTTTTCCTCCTCTTCTAGCCACCCATTCCAGGGACAGTACTCTGTATCAGATGTTAAGTTAAGATTGTCACAGTAAGTATATAGTACTTTGATTTGCTTTTTTTTTTAAAGTGTGGTCAAATATTAATAACTGTATAACTGTTGTTATGATGAACTAAACAAAATAATTATTTAAATTGGCCATGTAAATGAAACTATACTGAACGTTCTCTTGCAAAACATCACCACATCTAAAGATGGAACGTTTGCCTGAAATAGGGAAAAACAGTGCTAATGCACTATTTTGTGTTGGACTTTACGGCCCTGTTTTTTGCATTGCAATTATAATGTGTACTTATTTTTGAATTGTAAACTAAAGCTGTTAAAACTTTTATCGGTGTTTTTCTGTATGTTGACTTTAGGTCTCATTATTAGGAGGAAACAGCTTTTTTAAAATTAGCTGTTTTTTAATACAGCATTGTTCTAAAACTCTCGAAGTTCACTGCATATGTACTGAGACATGGTTCAGTATCTTCAGTTTAGAAGATTAAAATGAGCTTTACATTATCTCTTATTGCACCAAACTCAACTGAACTTTGAGTTGGTCTCAGGTCTTCCCTGTAGTATTCAAGTCTAAAACTCAGTGGTGCTTGTTATTCCCATAGCTGTTCAGCTCTAACTGAAGCCAGAATTCAGTCTTGGAGTTGCAGTTAACTATCTTGTCTTGCTAATGCACCAAGCAAAATAGGTTGTTTTCTCACTTAGCTATGTTGACCCTACAACATCAAACACTGGTTCTTTAAGATGCCTGTAAATCAGCAATACGTACATGGTGCTGATTCTGCACCTGCCTTGACTGTAGACCATTATTTTCAGTGCACTGTGAGTAGACTTAAAACACATGCTAACGGAATAGCTTGAGGAATAAAAAGGTTCAGACTTCAGTCTGCTGAATCTTTTCGTTGCTTTTGATGACCAATGACAGATTAAATTTCCATGATGGTGATTGAGAATGCAAATGAATCAAGATTTATCTCAAGGTAATTGCCTTCAATAAGGTGCATGCTGATAGCAGCTCTTACGATTAATTGATGGGTTTTGTAGAAAGACTTAATTTGAAAGATGTGGAGATGTCTATAATCTTTTACTTGCCTTATTTTTGTGTTTGAAAGGGGAGACACTAACTCTTTTGAGTAGCCTGAAACCAATGTAAAAGGACCAGTAGTTCTTAGTGTGTCTCTAATAACAAATATTTTTACAACAGTGCCTTTATTATCCAGATGTGACTTTGCTATCAGATACTCATCAAAATGACTTGCTTTTGCAAACTGAGCCTAAACTTGTTCTTGGTGTACTCTATTCTTTTTGCTTTTTGCATCTACACTAAAGATTTTGAAAGTGGGGAAAGAATGTGTCATGTTGTGTTAAGTTTTACATAAATGGGTTTGCAAAGCCTGAAATGTGAACTTGAATGTTACAATTTAAAACTAAATGAGATTATTTTCAAGTGATCACACTTGTGCAGTAGAAAGTACAAAAGCAATTTTGTACTTTCCTTTCCAAATGATGCTAGTGTCTGTCATCTTTTTGCATTTCTTTAATAAAAGCATGAGTATAAACTGTACTTGATCAAAAATTTAATCTTAGAGCAAGATACAAAGTAAACTTAGAAAAAAGAATAATGACTGATCAGTAACTTCCTGTTTTGTTTAAAGCTTATATATTAGGGCTAAAACTTCTCAAAACTACTGCAAATCTGACTTTGTAATTTAGAATATAAATGCATTTTGGTAAACATTTAGGAAAGGTATAAAGTGTGTTGTATAAGAATGAACCATTGGGCGTTTTGATTCCTGTCTTGCTAACAGCATCTTTTCTTCCTCTGAGAAGCTTGCCTAACTGATCTGTGTGGATAAGATGCGTGCAGGAATTACGGGCTTGATCATATAAAAAGCCTATATACATGTATGCTATATAAATTGCATATGTGTTGATATGTATTTTAACTAAGTATTTTATTTACACCTGGAAGTAATAAGAAGTCAGACAACTAACAGTCTTCAGTATATCTCGTTTAGCTCTGTGCAAAACAGTGAACGTGGAAAGAAGATTGGAAATGTGATGGTTTCTACTAGCCGAAATGTTGTACAAACCGGAAAAGCTGTAGGTAAGAAATTTATTTAAAACCAGCTTGCATCTAAGCCGTATCTTTTTTGAAGGAGCATCCTATATCTCAGTTACATTCAGTTTTAATCCAAGTGTACTTTATAACATACAAAACAGAGCAACATTTTCAGGGGTAAAGCTGCTGATTGAGGCCCTGTATATTGCATAATAGTGGAAAGAGAAACAGCTAGGCCAAAGAAATTAGTGTAAATTCCTTTCCCAGTGTGGGCTGGAGGTGAACATGGGAAGAGAGCTGTCCAGGGAAAACCTTTTATATAATCTGGAAATGCTTAAGACCGCAACATCACCTTCTGCATTGAGCTATTCTCATTTTTCTATCATTTTGGCTGCAACTATCCAGAGCTGGTTGAAATCAGAGGAAGACCTTGTGTCAGTTTCTGCAAGTTTTGCAATGGTCTGTAGTTTTCTGGAAAAGCACTTGTTGCATTTCAACAGTGGCAACATCACATTGTCATCTTGCAACATGTGATAATGTGAGTTCACCCATTGAAGAATCTGATGGCTGTTCTGCAGTAGCTTTGCCAAAAATTGTTTAGCTTCCTCTTCTGTTCCACTAGAGTCTTCCTGCTCTTTTTGCAGTTGTAGACTCTGGCAAGGAGCGCCTTTCAGCCCTAAGTCTAGCAAGCCTTCCAGGGCAAAGGACAACATAGGCTATTTCTGCTGAGCTACTATGTTCAAGTTCTTTGAATGTTTTCTGACATAGACTCTGGACTTGGATTTTAAATCCCAAATTGAACAACTGATTGTGGGATTTTTTTTTTTTTTTTTTTTTTAATCTTTGTAGTAGCTTAGTAATGATAACACTACACTATTGACCTTCTTTCTTTTGTTTTGTAATGCAGGCCAATCAGTTGGAGGAGCCTTCACAAGTGCAAAATCAGCTATGTCATCGTGGTTTTCCACTTTTACGCAGTCAACCCAAAGCCTCGGGGACTAAATGATGGTTTTGTACAATGCTGCTGAATATTTCAGGTGCAATGCTTTCTCTGAGCTGTAAAAAGACCGCTCCAAAACATAGGAGTGGAGATTAACTACCCAGGACCAGAACAAGTATATGTTGCTTGCAAGCAGATGTGGAATGTTATCATTCAGTTTCACTAGAACTATAGAAGAATGGTGAGTGTCTCCATACAATGGGATGGCATTTGCAGTATATTAGTTGTATTTAAAATGACTACTTTTCTTTAAAACTGAGCCTTTATAAAGACATTAGCAAACATGGCTTGTTGCAAGCCAAACGTGTTTGACTTTAGATTTGTATATTTTCTTGGATGTTGAAAATATTTATGTAAACTAGTTATATTTTTCAATCCAAATAGCCAAATGTTTGTGAATTCTTGTTAGAAATAAGTGGAGTATAAATACTGATTTCTCTTTCATGTTGGGTTTGAGAGCACCTCTGCAAACAGTATACGGTGGAAACCCTTAAAGGGTTTCATGCCAGGTGGAACCTTCTCGCTTTCACCTGCAAACTAAAATCGTCAGGGTGTAGACTAAGACTGTGGCTGACTTAAGGGTTTTTTTCCTTTCTCCTCTGTAGCCATGTACAGTTTTTTGCATTAATCTGTCTCTAGCTCTCTTTCTGTCCCCAAATCTGTGTGAGAGTTGCGAAATCAGTATTTTCTTGATGTTATGCAGTAGGCCTTCATAACTTTGCGTATATTTTGGCTGTGTTTTTACCCTGGGACGTGAATGGGATTCCAGTTGGAGAGATCTCCTCAGGAAAAGTATTACAAAACAATTCTCCCAAATTGGGATTGGATCATAGGCAGTTTTGTGAAGTCTTGCTATATTAGGATGTAATTACACCGTCAATGTAGTTACATACATATGAATACAAAGTTCTAAAACCACCTAAAACTAGCACAGTAGCAAACTCTGCGTGGCTTTTTTTTTTTTGCCAGTGAAGTTATGAAGACTCTTCCAAACAAAAATAGCTATATCGATTTTCTGTGTCGACTCAGGGAATGTTCTGTTTGGATAACTACTTTTTTCATACGGAAAGTAACACTAGAATTGAGGGAGCAACTGAAACGGCTCAGTTCGTATCCTTGTGTGAAGAAATATAGTAGCTATATGAAAAGATGTGGCATAATGCTGAATTTCATATGTAACATGCATGCGGTGTCTTCTGTATGCAAGCGTATTCCACTTCCTGTATTTTCTGATTCTGAGAGAGATTATTTCCTGGTTCTTGCAATGTGTGTGCCTCTATATGCCTTCTAACATCCCCACATGATAGCTGTTAACATTTTCTACATTACATTATCAAATGTTCCAACTTTCTGTAGTAAAAAGCTCTTAGTTTATTGCCTCATCAGTATCTGTCAGCATTTTGCCATGTTCTTTTCCGGGGCCAAGATTTCAATTCATGGTTATTTCTTCTATTCCTCAAATAAAATATAGCAGCTGTACAAGAGATAACAAGAAAGCTTGAATGTAATTTGTTTTAAGAAATGAAGTTCTAATTTCTTTAGATGCATTTGAAAAGCTAATAGAAAAGCCACACTTGTTTCACAAAGTTACTGTCCAACAACTTAGTTTTCAGTTTTATTGCTTCAAACAGCAAATCGAAAACACAGGATGTGGTTTAAAGCCTTCATTAATTTTTTTCCAGGACAAACTAGATAGAATGGCTGTGGAAAACCTGAGAGCATAGAGCTAGTTGGAGTAGTTTCATTTGAGAAGGGCAAAAAAGGCCCCTAAAGCTCTACTAATCTACTGCTTCTGACATACAAGTAAAATGTATCTGTAGAACTGCAACTATTGCTCCTGGTCTCTGTGTGTGTTTGTGTATTGCCTAAAACTGATACTCTTTTCTGGTTTATTCCACAACTCTGTAATAAACATTTATATCTTTTCAAAGACTAAGTAATACTTGATATGCAGGAAGAGCTCTGGTGAAATAAGACTAGGGCTGCATTTATTCATGATGAGTCTAGAGCTTTCTGATTCAGCACGCAGATAAGAAAATAATCTAAAATAATCACTTGCTTTTGTGAAATGGCTAACATATTATTTGCTGTCTGGAATTTAAGTGGTCAGGCTTCGTGTTGTAGTGAAGACTGAATAAAGGTGCATAAAGGATTTAAGCACCTATAAAACTAACTTCAGCAACTTAAGGCACACTAGGTAAATTTAGGCTTAGGAGCTCACAGTGGTGAGTTTTAGGAGCCAGGCAAGTGGTTGGTATTTACATGTACAAGGTATAGAAACAGGACCTTCAGGGATCCCTTTTCAATATCCCTGTCTTTGTCACCTCCTCGCTGGAGTTTCTTCTGTAGAATTCTCCTGTGCCCCAAATTTGTATAGCTGATTTATTAGCTCTCTGCATTCCCCTTACTCCCACAGATGCCCTCACTGGCCCAGGGATATTAGAAAAGCTGACTTTTTTTTTTTTTTTTCCCGGTAGATTGATCTGAGGAGAGGCAGAATGAGGTGTTCTCTGCAGTGCTAAGCTGATGCACAGCTGCTTGCTGCTTTATACAGGGACTCCGTTATGATACTTCACAGTATTTCTCTTACGGGCAAGAAGACCAGAGAGATCTTTCTCTGCAGTCTTTTTCCCACTGTCCCAGTTGTCTCTGTTGTGAAGCCAAACATACAACCTGTTTAAGAGTATTTTCCTTTCTTTACAAATGATAGAATAAGAAACTTGTATTCATTTTCAATCTTTTTAAGAACTGGCATCCTGCTAGCAAGTAGGACTGTGATTTAAACTCATACAGTGATTAAGACTCATGCAGTGGGTGGAGATGAAGTGATCTTCATAATATGTGGTCTTCATTAACATGTATATTTTCTCTTTGACATTTGCTTAAACTTACTTGTGGGCTGTAGGAAGGCATGCAGCCACTGAGGTTTGTCTGAGCTCATGTAGTCCTCTTCTTAATTTAATGGTTGTAACCTCTTTAGTTAAATCCAATGCAAATGCAAGTTATTTTCCTCCCCTCTGTTTTAAAATTTCCAGTGCAAGCATTATTACTTATTCGAAAGATTTAGGCAGTCAACTTCCATTTCAAAGACCCTGACATCCATTTCTGCACTGCAAGAAACACTGAGTCCTAAGTGAATTGGTGCCTCTAATGAGTCAACTGTGAAGCTATTGTTACGGCTCTGTCATGACGTATGTTGCAAAGGTATTTCTGGCTGTCAATGTGCAGCATGAACTGACTTACAGGTAATACAATAGCGCACCTCTCAACTTTCTGGCATCAAAGGCATTAACCTTTGCTTTTTCTATGTGCCAGCATTTGAGGAACTGCCTATTGAGCATAGATACGAGATACAAGTCCCAAAAACCCCTCAAGACTAAGTATTGTTGACCTAGTGTTTCATTTGACTAAAATATTCAGCATTTTTGATCAGTCATTTTCATGTCATAACCTTAATTGCTGTGCATATCTGACACCAGTTTCTTCAAATATCACAATGTAATTACCATTTTTAGATCAGTGTTCTAGTACGTTGCCCTTGTTTGACCTTGTACATCTGTCTTAAGCACCTTTGTAATTAAATTTAGAATTTTGCCTAAGCAAGCTTCTGATTTCCATAGAAATTATTACTAAGCAGAGAAACTAATGTGGCAGTATTTAATTGTAAAAGTGAAGGTGTGATTGCAGTTTTTAAACATAGAAACTGTTGCTTGATAATTGAACATACAAGTAATGTATTTGATTTTTCTTGTGCTGCTTGAAAAATAAATACATCCAGCCTGTTTAAAGCTCTGTCTGCTCAAAAAGCTGTATTATTTTAAGAAATTAATCCCACTGGAAGACATTTGCAGGCATCTGTGTTTGATATTGGTAGCTGCTTGTAATACACTAGCAGTCTTTTTGAAATTTGTCTTCCATTTAAACTGATTGTGGATGTTGCGTTTGCAAATTTAGGACAAGAGGATCCTCTAGTGTGACTTTTTATTCCCTTTTGGGTACTGCTCACTGTAAATTGATTAAAGTCTTCAGTAGGTCGCAGACCCCTCTTACATCAGCAAGAACTTTAGGTACAACTGTAAAATTCTAATCTAGATTTAGCTTCAAAATAGTACATAGTTAATGTGGATTGTGACACCTAGTCAAAACGGGGATGCTGAGTAAATTAATTGCTGCACATCCAGCTCTCTGCCATAGTGAGCTATTCACTAAAGGTTTATTTTAAAACTTTAAAACTTCTACTGTAACTGCCACTGTACCTAGCCGAGAATGATTTGGTAAATTACTGTTTCCAGTAGGAGGAAATATAACTGCCTTGAATAACATTCAGATGTGAATTACGTGTAGCTTATGGCTAGAAAACGGTTGCAATTCTCTAAAACTTGTTAAAGTTTTTCTGACTGTATGCAAATAGTTGTTCAAACACACTGAAAGATAAATTTACATCATGTTTATGCAGTGTAATTTTACTTTCTTGCACGTATTTAGTTTTCATTAAAAAGGGCAACTTGGAGAGAAGTCATTAAAGGCAGAAACAATACATTATTGTACTATGATTAAAGATGTATGACAAATTGCTTCATGGTGTTTTGAGTCTTTAATACTACAGTAGAGGAGAGACTGACTTAAAAAAGCAGGCACAGAGCTTTAGTTCTGTGATGTTTCTGGTCTTGACCCCATTCTTTATCAAATATTAGAAGTAGTGTTTGAATTTAAAAAAAAATGGAGATGGATCATTTCTATCAGTTAAATAGTGAACCTTACTCAGCTTACTTTATTCCCCATAAGTTGACGTATGTGCACAACATCTGTACACAGGTGGCTTAATCTTGGTTGTGATGGAACGTGGAAGTCTAGCTGTCTTGTTGAGTCCTCCTATATAGGTTCAAAATTGTTTAATCATACATTGCTCCTGTTGTAATACTATTTCAAAATCAACTGATAGAAAATAAGATTTTTTTTTTTGTTACTTCCCTGCCTGAATTTACTAATACTGAAAGCATAATTACTATTTGCCTCAATAGTAGCACAGAACACCTACAAAATCATCTCTTCTTGTTTTTATCTAGATCACCAAGAAAGTAGCAGTGCTTTCTACATCAGGTGAGCATAAAGAAAATCAAGTAAGAATGTGTAAACTGAAGGAAGAAGAGTTATCTAAAATGAAGGTAGTTGTAGGGTAAAAACAATATGGGGTATAACATCACTTGCATACTGTATGAAACAGATAGAAAATACTGAAGAAGCAAACTTAATTGGTCTGTTTTCTCTGAATTTGGAGACTATAACACACACAGAAACACAGTGGAGAATTTAAAAGTTCAGGCATACCAAAGAGTGGCAAAAAACAACACTGAGCTTAATGTATTGCCTAATACAACCTGTGGTTACTGACCTTTGCTGCTCCTAATAAATTGTGTGTATATGTGTTTTGACATGTGTAATGTTGTGCCAAAGAGCTGGCTGAAGTGTATTGTGGAACTTGTTTCTTAATTTTTTTTTTT